ACATAAATATTGTCTTGATGAAAACTTTATAGCATTATCAAAACTTACATCTTCTTACCAAAGGCCGAGGAATTCATTTCCAATTACTCCATTCAACTGCTTTCGTGCCTTTAAATATTTATACATTAAAATTGCAAAAATGTTGCTAGTTTTTAGTGTCATTAGATTGTACACAGCGATAGCTAAACGTGGTTCGTTGAACTTATAATGCGAATGTAGCTGTGGATTTTCTGCCGTATGAATTTGCAATTAAAACATTCGTGCATTTAAAATAAAAGCCTAATTATGTTATGGAAAATTGAAATACATGGTAACATTTAAGAATTCTTCTTTTTAAAAACGCTTAGAAACGCTATATTTTTGTCAATTGCTAAAACAAAGAATTAAATTGAATTTGTTTTGCAACTGCTGTTAATAAAGCAAAACTGGGAAGTTCAATAAACATGTCACTAACCTAGAGAACTTTGATCAGTATGCAATTAGCCCGCATCAAAATATAGAAACGAGGGCTCTGGCGTGCAGCCTACGTGCGACGACCGCCTAATGTGGAAATAATGTCGCCCGCTCATTAACTTCTACCTACCTACACCATTAACAACTACATTTTAACGTATCCCTACAACTAATATTATGTATAAATATTTTATTGTTTCTCTTTACTATTTTACGCACCTTTTGCTTCTTTGTCTGTCCGTATGAAAATCTTTAGGGTAATAGAAAATAACAACAAAATCAAAAATAGATTCGATGGCTGAATCAACTTATTGGTCATGCGAGTTTTAGAGTTATTAGAAATATATAGTAAGAGTCCGTTCTACACAGCATTTTCAGAAACACACCACGTAAAGCCTAAAGCTTTCTTTTCAAGATTATTTATGTCTATTATGGCATTAGTCTAATGGAATTTAATTTTTGTCGAATTTATTGTTAGAAATTCTAAAACCCAAATAATAATATTTAAGCCTGAAGCGTGCAGCAAATAGGGCAACATTAGTTTCGACGTCACAACCAAACAATATGTCATAAATTGTAAACCCGCTTCGGGTTAGTTTGCATTAGAATGGCCGGGGCCGGGGCGCGCTCCCCCGGGCGACGCGACGCCGCCGACCCGGCGACGACGCGAGGCGTTCGATTTCACCCGGAATTAACTCGATAATTCTCTAATTGTGCAATTAGCTGACGGCAATTTGGTCTCGACTTATCAACAGTGAATTACACACGACGTCCGCTCCGTTCCGGACGCCTCGTCAACATAATATCATATACTAACGAGTTCATTTATTAGAAATTTAAAACGATGCGAACACGCCGTTTGGCTCCATTTTCAAAGTCTCATTAAATTTAATATCTGTTGAATAGCTTCGACATATATTTATTTGCATTGTAAAAAAATAATTTAATTCGTTCGTTGGAAAGTTAAAAGATCGCATATTATCTTTTTAGTTTCGGTATACATTTCAGAACCAAAAAAAATCTTATTAAAATTAAAGTGACAGGAGTTTAGTAGGAGTTAAGAAATGGATATATTAAAACACAAATCGATTACCTGAATGAAAATCATCACACGAAATTAAATTCGCTTCAAAGTAAAACTGTTGCCGTTTAAGCGCAATAAAGCGGCTTATTTGATAAGCGATAACGGCTGCGATAATACAATATTATAATTTAATGGTGCATCGTAATAAAATTAATGTGAGAAGCAATAAATCGTGGCACGAGAGGTCGCTCGCATCTCTCGAGCTTGGCGCGCCTTCGCCAGATTGGATAATTTCAAATTATCCACCGAAATTATGATGAAGTGAAATGAATATTCAAGCGAAACGTTTAGACCTCGACGTGTTATTAACATGGTCGTGGCGTCGTTACCGGCCAAATTGTATTTCATAAAATTCATAACCATACTTATGACCTAATATTTCTTGTAAAATACTTTATTGAAAATGATCAAGGCTCATCATCTAACTATCGTTATGTTGGTATGTATGTATGTTATACTTCTATTCATCAACTGCTTATTTATTATAATAATGCAAACTATTAAATAACACATATATAGGCGGCCGGCAACGCATCTGTGGTTCCTCTGGTATTGCTGATGTCTATGGGCGTCGTTGAACACCTCGGTGTTACCGCTGCTCGTTTGCCCCCTTCTGTTAGAAAAAAATATATATTTGCCGTACGCGCGTACGTTATTATTATTTTTTTACTCTGGGCACTGAATTTGAACTTTTGTCGCAGGGTAAAGTCATGGTGTAAGGATATCAAGACAACCTTACTTACTTCTGTCGGGAAAAAGAATCTTTCTTACAGACATGTATGTACATTATAGTGTCGGTAGTTTGTTCAACTGCACTCTCTTTGAACAGTAACTTTAACATTAAAGTATACTTTAGTAAAACTTCATCGTCATGACAACTAACATATTTTTTGTGAGTCGTGGTCCGTGCGCCACACTTGCATCCTTGAACCGCACCGGCTACCTGACCCGATACTACAATTTGTGCCCGCATTAGGTAATCTTGTTTCATTTCGACTCGTACGGCTTTTTTTACGATGGAAAGATCTTCGTCATTTTTGACAAGGAAAAGGCCATCAGCGTATAATGCGTAGCGAGGCGCCGTTGCTCTCAGATCCAATCTCCGAGTGGCCCGGCTGGGTTGACGACCAATTATGGATATCACTCGGTTTCGGCCGGAGCCAAATGGGGCATAATTCCTAGGGTAATTATGAGCGCGGCGTTCGCCTGCCATCGATTCTGCTCTCCATCTTCACTGACACGTATTATCCAAATTGCTTCGATGTCTTTGTGCGTCTCAGACGCGTTTTTTGTTTGCTTTTTGATTTATGGACGCCATATTGCGTGTTTTGAAGGTTAATAAAAGTAATACATGTATGTATATAAGCATTTTATTTGGCAATTTTTATATCATGAAAAGATAACATATCACATATTTTCATATATAATCTGACTACTAAAGTAAATTAATATACTTTTCTTATGTACCTATTAATGTGGTGTATATTAGCCATTAAAATAAAGAGGTCGATAGCTTAGAATCAACAAGATGTTTTACTGAGCAAATGATAAATGGTCAAAGTGTCAAGCTACTTAAAGCGTTTATTTTAGATCATTAATTAAAGTGCTAATTTAGCTGGCAGTGACGTGTGACATGTCGTGGACTTTAAAAAAAATTAAAAAACCTCCAAATTTGCTTATTCAAGTGAAACTGTAATAACCAATGTCGAATTTATTGATAGGTACTTTATCTAAGTAAAGCAAGATAAACAAGTTTTAAACAAATTGCGTCAGCAAAATTTTTTCTTATGTCAGAAAATATTTAAACCTTGCTATTTGCTTTTAAAAGGCTTGTTATATATGTAGAAATAAACACAAACCAAAAGCTACATTCCGACTAAGTTCCTTCAGTAAACTGACGACCAAGCTTACTGAAGTTGTTAGTTATACTAGTTAAGATTTAAATCAAGCTTATTCCACCTAACTAATCTTACTTCTTAGGAATATTATAAATGCAAATGTTTTGATGGATGGATGGATCTTTATGAAATTTGGCACAGATGTAGATCATAGAGTGGAAGAACACATAGGTTACTAATTTAGTTTTTTTTTAATTGCGCGCGGACAGTCTCGGGCGAATGCTAGTATAGTCATAAATGTATATGACATAAGTAATGAAATGCTGGGCGTTAGTTGCGTGCTCACATCAGTAGATCTAGCTGATAGCGCGCATCCACTCATTACTCGTATTTACTCAATGGACATCATAACACTTGTGAACACGACTGTATCTACATATGCTTTATTGCTTTTGGAATTTATGTGTTTTATATTGAACTGTACAGTTTTTATACTTACATATTTATTCAAAACCAAGATCTCAAGCTGCTTTATTAAACAGATATATTAAATGAATCGATTAGAGTAACTTTAACCTGGAACCAACAACATAAGAATGTTGGAGACACAATTTTGACCATCGATCCTGTAAAAGATAGGAACTGTCCAGTTCCTATCTTTTATCTTTTATAAGATATATATAAGATGTATGTACATCTATTGATGTATATCTAGTGATGGTGAGGTGCATCGGTAGTGAGCAGTTGTAAGGCGCGGCGCACACTGGCGGCGGCGACAGCTGCGCCAATCACAATATAAAGGGCGTGGCGAGCGACCCCGGACCCCGGTCTGGGCCCCACATCCGAGCCCCGCATTATGTTATTGCATACAATGAAACTTTTTTATTGACCCTTTGTCTCATATTGGGGTGAAATATCCGGTCGGATGTTACTTCTACACTCACCTTTATTTAACATCGAATGGGTGCGGGGAACGGATTATGCCTTTTTTTATTTCTTTCTTTGATGTAATTTAATCTACTCTCACACTGAGATTACAATAGTTTTTTGGAGTGTTGTAATTTATGTAACGGATATACGTTGATATTATCATACAGGGTCAGTTCGTTTATTTAACATTTTTCTAAAATTTATTCAAGTTTATTTCCAATCTCTGTGTCGTTTTCAAAAGGATCTGAGTTGAAAAATTGTATAATTAAAGTAAACAAATACTATAAAAGTTGCCTGTTCCAATGGTAAAGTTCGGCCTGTTTATGTGTCCTTGTCACGATCAATAACGATGTTTATAAGCGAGTTGGGTAGCTTCAGCAGACAGTGGCCAGTGGGGAGCGTTTATTAATTAGGACGTCCCGCAGCCGCGGTAGCGGTAGCGTCGGGACCTGTCACTGCGCAGCCTAATTGTAAATACACTTCACGGGCTCACGTAATTTATTAAAATTATTTTTGTGCGCCTCAGGCACCGGCTCGACCGCGGCTTTTATTCTCATATAAATAAGGCCATAAATCTGACTCCACACTGGCAATGATTCTCACGGTCTCCCGGCCGCTCGATAATTAAACCCGTATAAATAATTATTTCTTTGTTCATTCATCGTGATTAACTATTTCACTGTTCATCTTTCCAGGAACACCCGAGTCTGCGCGGCACGCCGCTGGCAATGCTCGCGGCGCAATGCAACAAACTCTCCAGTAAATCTCCTCCGCCGCTGGCTGACGCGGCCGTTGGCAAGGGCTTTCACCCATGGAAGAAAAGTCCCGGCACCCACTCGCCCCCCGGCGCCGGATCCGGGCCACGTTCTCAGCCCCCGGCCTGCGCCCCATACGCCCGCCCGCCAACCTCCTGTGCTGCCGCGCCATCCTACGGAAACGACCTTTACTTTCCCTCGTCCGGAGATCAGCTACTAGGCAAAAGCGAATCTAGCGCAAGTCTCGGCTCGATGTACTCGAGGCACCCTTACGAGTCCTGGCCCTTCAATGTGGGGGGAGGCGGCGGCGGCGGCGCGCTGAAGGCCGCGGATATGGGAGGCGTCGGCGCCGTCGGCGGCACGTGGTGGGACGTGCACGGTGGTTGGCTGGACGTCGGCGGTCAGATGGCCAACTACGCCGGCCAGGACTACTCGCAACTGACACATTCCCTGTCGGGCGGTGCCCACCTCCTGCCGCCAGCACCGCACTTGCTGCAAGATGCGTACAAGTCGGTGCTTCCGACGCAGGGCTCGTTCGGGCTGCACGGTCCCGGCTCCCCGGCGCCACCCGCGCAAGCGCCGTCTCCTCGCTCGCAGAGGCGATACGCGGGCCGAGCCACCTGCGACTGCCCAAATTGCCAGGAAGCGGAAAGGCTCGGGCCCGCGGGGGCGCACCTGCGCAAGAAGAACATCCACAGCTGTCACATCCCCGGGTGCGGGAAGGTGTACGGCAAGACGTCTCACCTGAAAGCTCATCTGCGGTGGCACACCGGTGAGCGGCCGTTCGTGTGCAACTGGCTGTTCTGCGGCAAAAGATTCACGCGCTCGGATGAGCTGCAGCGACACTTGCGCACGCACACCGGCGAGAAAAGGTTCGCATGTCCGGTGTGCAACAAGAGGTTCATGCGATCGGATCACCTCGCCAAGCATGTAAAGACGCACAATGGCGGCAAGAAAGGCAGCTCAGAGTCGTGCTCGGACTCGGAGGAGAACAGCCAGGGCGAGGGCGGTGGCGGCGGGCGTTCGCCCGAGCACGTGCTGGACGTGAAACCCGGCGCGCTCGGGTGACGGGAGCGCGCGGCGCTCACCGCCCTCCCGCCGCCGCCCCTGTGAGCTAACCTACGCCCCGCGCCCCGCGCCCTGTACATATCGAACCTCTGTATAGATTGTAATTAAAGACTTCGTTTTGACTGGTGTTGCGTCGTGTATATTATATATTCGTTGTGAAACTTGAAGTGTACAGTATAGATACTATGAAATATTGTCTATTATATAATTAGAAATTGTACTGTAACTTAATTTAAGTAGAATCACTCTTTTAGTCGAAAATTACATGTAATTTATTTAAATATTGTTAATAGTTCAACTGGTCCTCAATAATTGAATACCATCTGTTAAACTATCTGAACGTGTTTGTTACATTATTTACTTAATTATAAAGTTTACGTAGAAATATAACAATTTACTGAAATATGTACACACAGCTTCAAACTTTAATTATATATAGACAAATTGTCACAAATAAAAGCTGTTGCCAGGAACTTTTCTACGTGTGATTTTTCAACTACTTTTAGTATATAGTATCATAGAACCAGTTAATCATTATTTCTCATCGATTGCTGCTTATAAATTAATATTTCGTATAGGATGTCAATCAAAAAATCTACACCTTGACTTATTCCTTGCAAACCACTCAATATAAGGTGATTACTGCTAATTTTTGTAGTAATAAAAAGGCATATGATTTTTGGAATAAACCTGACAAAACGTTTTTTCACCAATTGATTTCATTGAAATTTTTCATTATCAAACAATTAAATTTACTGTAAAATATTAATTTTATAATTGATTTTTAAATATTTATCTGAATAAAAAAATGAAAAGATCAGTCCAGGAAAGAGGTTGCCGTTTGCATTCCTGACCATAATGGAGGAGAAAGAAATAAATATATGTTTTTGTTTTTTGGTACCTTTGGTAAAAATAGGTTCCACTCTTATTAAGACGTCACCTTTTCTTCTATCAATAGCATACTGTGATATTTGTCTATATATGAATTAGCCTGATTTTAACGCTATTATTTGTAATTAGTGTGAAGTCTAGAATCGATAAATTGTACATGAAGGTTAGAAAATAATTTACGATGTAAAATGTATTAAGAAATTGCGGAGACGAGTAATTTTTTTATTATCTCTGATTTTTTTAACCCCTTGGGTACATTTGACGTCTGAGACACGTCATTCACTTTTTTCCCCTAAGAGCGGATGATGGTCAAAACAAAAATTAAACTTTTATTATAATATATTAGAAATAAATACATTCTTAAATGAAATGCCTTTACGTGCTCCAAGCAACCAAAAATTATTTCCATTCCACAGGCAAATATTTTCTCAAATAAATCCGTACCCAAGGGGTTAAAATTGATTCTAAATTATGTGATTTTGTTCGTTTATATTAAATATAATTGTCGATAAATTAATGGATGATTTTATCTGTGTCTATTGTATATGATATGTAATTGTACAAATTTACGCTAAAAAAATGCCTAAAATTGATTTTATAAAAATTAAATATATTTTCCGATATGGATATCTGTATTTTAATTGCAACCCAAATTAAAAGTAACTAATAAATAGAAATGTTTGGAAGTATGGATGGATGGATGTTTGTTAAAAGTTATCTCCAGAACGACTCAATAAATCTCGATGAAATTTACACAGACGTAACATGTACTCTAGAAGAAGAAATATGCATATGCACACTTATTAGGTTTTTTAAGTCAGATAAGACGGAGTTGCTGGCGACAGATATTAGAAAATAATTAAAGGTAAACAGGCTTTAAAAAATATGCACTTAAATCTGCTTCTATCCATAAGTTCAAATATTCTGTAAAAATAGTCAGCAAAAAACTGTTTTGCTTTTGCTAGTATGAAAACTAATCAAGGGTGGTTTTTCTAATCCTAAATCAATGGCAATATTTTTATTATTGACGATTTATATTTTACAGGAAGAAACTGAAAAAAAATACATTTTTAATAAATCTGCTAGAGTTGCATTCGTCTATGCTTTTGGCAATTCCCAAGGTTTAAAATAATTATTCAACATGATGATAAAAATTGAGGATTCTATTAAGGTTCCTGTCCTCGTGATGGCGATATTTATAATTGATAGAGACTAAAAAAGTAAGTATCAAGGTTGGATCTCAACGCCGACGCATGTCTGCGACTACATTTTAAGTTTGCTTTCATATGAATCAATCAACTAAACTTCACATTAGATCTGTAATTCTCATCGCGATTTACTTACTTATTACCTTTAAAATAACCCATCAAAAGAAATGGATGCATTTATGTTTACTTATAATCAAAGACTACTAATTACTCTGTTGACATATCTTAATTTAACCACAAAAAGTTCCAAAGCTACAACACGCAAAAAGGATTATCATTAACAGATGTGTCGATTATGACACATTTGGATGATAGTAATCTAGAGGAAATCTCACAAAGAGGACATACAAGCCGTAAAAAAGTGAATTGAAACCACAAATAATGAGAGGGAGGGAAGGGGAAGGGGAGGAGACACCGCGGGTGGGCGAGAGCTCGTGCCGTAAAAAGCTCGCTCATCTGCGACAGCCGCAGACTCCATTACTGTGCTCGTGGCCTAGCTTAATCTTGGCTTTATTAATGGCCCGCGCGACGGTGGTCCCCGACAATTGCTACTCATTGACCGGCGCCGCCCCGGTATCGTATTGATGTCTCCATCCTGCACACTTTATCACACTACATACGAACAAGGAATGATATCACAGTATATGCACATAGGATCTCTATTGTTAGGTTTCTTAATTTTTTAAAACAAGTAAAGTTTTAAATACAATTAATTAAAGTAGATCCTAAGCCGCTAATGGCACTTGCCATAGTCATATGCGTAGTTTACAATTGTCATTAAAAAAAAAACAATAAAATCGACTGACTATTCAGTGACGTTCTGGTGAACAATGAAAATATATGCACCGAGTATGGTGTAGGTCACAATAGACTTAACTAATGTATCTACATATCCGCAAAACACCCACCAATCAGGCAAAAAAAATCGAAATTGCAATGTCATGAAATAAAATAAAATATTCACACATTCAGTTACTAGATCACGATCACACGTAAATGACTTCCGTGTATTAAAGATTTTATTTCTCATCCAATAATATGAAAATTAATTCATCAATAACACGATCACATAAAAAGGTCGTCAGTTATTGATAGGTTGTGCTTGATAAATGACCATTGCAAAAAAAATGTGCAAGTTAATTGAGAGCCACCTCGGAGATGTTGGCTGCGGTCCACAATAACGGGACTCATGAGACAGGACCACACTAGAGTGATGTCATATCATGTGGCTTATCAAGTCTAATGATATCAAATTATATTAAATTCCAATATATTGTTTTATAAAACCTCGTAAAACTTTGTATTTGCGAAGAGTGAAATCAAAAATGTATTTAATTATACAATAACTAAATTTAATTAAGACAATAATAAATCCCGATGTTATTAATTGAGACTAATAGTAATACTAATATAGCTCCTTTATCGGCATATATAGTTAGAGCTGCTTACAACAATTATATAGGTAAGTAAATAAACTGGCCGATGACTAAAATAAATATAATTTGCGGGTTTAAACTCGCACTGGTACTTTCTGATACACTTTTTTTGTAGATTTCCATACCGTATTGCATCATATCACATAATAGCGATTTTAGGGTATCTATAGATTAAATCAGAAACGTAAACAAACATTAAATTATGTTAACCAAATTCTTAATTAGAATTAAATTTGACCTTCGTAATCATATAAAGAAAGCCGTTAACGCGACAACGTTCCAAGTAATAGAATTAAATCTCTTTCCCCATAACTAAACACAGATTTATCACCCTCTAACCAAATTACTCGTAAACTGATCGCGGCCGCGGAATGGAGGGATGAGGGCGGCTCGTTAGACTCTCAACCTACTTCAAATTCAACCCGTGAACTTCGCTCCCTGTCTACTGACAGGGGAAAAGTAGCAAAATTTCATTGAGATTATACGTTAGCATCCTAGGTACTAATTTGAAATTTCATAAAGAAATATAAATAAATTTACACTTTTACATCTTTCTCATAATATTATAGAAATAAAATGCGTCACGAGACCAAAAGATATAACAGTTACTATACTAGTAAATATACTAAAATATTTTCTTTTCGTGAATCCTCTCCTCCGTCGATTAAAGGTAGCCAACGCATATGCAATTGCGTATGTCTATGGGCAACGGTCACTTCGCTCTTTTAGCGATTTCAGGTAGCCGCTCGCTTGTTTTCCACCTTATAATAATAAAAAAATATACTAAATAAAAGTTGTCTTTAAAATAACTTAAGAATCTAGCCTTAACTTGATGCAAAGTAAAAAAAAGCTAGAGTTTACCACACCAGGTGTCCAGGCAGTTATTTCCGATATTCTAAGAGTTTTCTCTCAAGCTTTAAGTCGTAAAGAATCCTTTGAGTCCCCCAAAGCATTTATGTTGCGTCAAAAAGCACAAGAATATTTATGACCTACCTATTGCTTTTACTTCTTAAAAGTAGCAATGTTCTGATTCCATATGAAGTTAAAACAGGTTGTAACTAAGATATAGTCTTTTACTGTTTTGCCATATCTTCCCTTCTTTGTGTCCCAATTTTTGTATGTTTTTGAAGACCCTGAAATATGTGCTTGGTTTTAGTTCTCTTTGTTAGATAATATAATAGATGATATTAGAAAATGTATGCATGTTAATATGAATGAATTTGCTTAGAGAACAAACATATATCTCTAATTAGTATTATGATTAATAAACGGTCATAAATCCACGTCCTTGAGACGGACAAAGCCGTGCCGTCACACGTGGCGGGGACATGTTCTTAGAAAAACAATTCGCACTCCGAGCTCCGGCAGTTTTTGTGCGGATATTGTTGCTAATTAGGACCCTTGAAAGTGATCTTCAATAAAAACTTAATAGTAAGTAATAATAATTTAAAACTGAAAATATAGACAAAATTACGGTGATAAAGGACATCTCTACGTTCTTTTTTTCAACTTTAGTTTGTTTAAAAAAAGCCGTATTGAAATACTAGAGGGTCAGGTTCTTTTAAAATCCAGTCTAATGAGTACTTCGAGACTGATCAAACACTTTGTTTTTTTAGAATCTATTTCAAAACTTCGGATTTCATTATATACCCGAAGCATAACCATACATTATGTATTATAAGTCGGCAAAGTGTGCAGATATTCAAAATAAACTTAAAACAATGTTGCAAAGAAGGACGGAAACACAGGCAGTTTACAACTTTTTAACAGCGCGCCGCGGCCGCTGTAAATCACAAGCTTTGGCCCCCTTTCAGAAGTAATATTGACTTCTTCGAACTCACATTAATCCTCCATTCCTCAATATGCTAAAGGAAACGTCTTGCCACAAAGGAACGAACGATTTTAACAAACTTAGCAACATCGCCATACGAACACTTAAACATTCGTTACATAATTAGTTATGTTCTACATTATTCGACGCGAAACTTATTAAAATAATAATTACAATTAAACATACGTCAAAACTAAGTCATGTAAATATTTATTACTTTAAATCCATCGCTAAGTAAAGTTTTAATCATCTTTTACTATTGTCTTTTTGTTAGTAAAATACAAAATGTAAAAACAAATCACTAAGATACGTGTTCCTTAAACAATTAATAATTGTTATGACTTTGCCGTTGTTTTTTAACCATTTGTTAAAAGCATACAACTATTGAAAACGTCGGCGCGCTTCATAAAACAGTAGCACGTTTTGCTATCATCTGTACATTTGTGACAAATCGCTACGCCAAGAACAAAATTCAATGGAGTAGACATTATTTATAAAAATATATTTCAGTATAATTCCATATAGCATTGTTTGCTTATTAAGTGTTGATTTATACTAGAAAAGAAAGTCATAGTACTCTTTTTATGTAAGTCTAAATATTGAAATTGAGGTAAGAAATAAAGACGCCCTAATTTGGTTGCTGCCAGCACATAAAAATATGTGCATCAGTATTATAATTGCTAAAGTACAAGCAATCGATCAAAATTTAGTCAAGAAAAACATTGAATCTCATCATCTATCTGTTTATTCTTGTTTCATCGTAGTTAAAGTATTATCGTCTTAGGTCATTAAACCACGCTAACTGGTTAACTGCGTTTTACCTTTTTGAGAAAAAAAAAACTTTAATTAATAGCAATTGCAATATTTGCTATTCGGTATAAAGCAAATCTGTGTTAGAACGGGGCTATGACGCGGCGTGTCATGTCGAAATGTTTTAATTTAGTGTCGCAGTCCGTCTCGCAAGGCATATCCGCCGCATGGAGCACGGAGCATGGAGTGCCACTCGACACTCGCTGCGTATAGTGTCATGCAAACTTTATGACTGCTCGCAATTTTTTATGAAAAATGTACTCCAGAATAAAATTTTACGTATCAGCGGGA